AATTCTGAATAAGTAGAACAATATTATTTATTGATTCATGTCTACCAAAAATGAGACCACATTATTTTATTTTTAAGTGAATGGTATTGGTAAATGTGGCTATTGTAATACTCTAATGCCAACAGATAAACTTATATTCTTCTTTAATATCAGTTTATAAATATTGGGGGAGAAAATAATTTTTCAGTATTACACTATATTCACCTTTCAATATTATGTAATTTACTTTTGGTACACATTTTATTAGTGTTTTTGTCTGAGAACTCAGTAACAGTAAGAAGGACATTTAGCAAACCTAAAATTGGTTTTAGCTTGTAACCTTTTTAGAAAGTAATATGAATTAGGTAGCTATAACTGCCTCACAACATGCAAACAACATCATGTATATGTAAAGTCAAAATGATAGTCTCATAGAGGAGATTTTACTCAAATGGTTACCAGGAGACCCCAAACAAAATGATCAATACTCCTCCTAAAAAACAATGCTTTAATTTTCAAATGAAATTATAGGGATCGCATAAAGATGTGTAACCAAAGATACAATAGCTGCAGTGTGCCTGGAAGTGGCTAAGCTCCCAAGCAAATCATCCCTATTAGTTCCTATTCATGATTTAAATTATGCTATTTTATCTCTTCATAACATGCGGCATTTTTTACCCTCACATTTCTAGGCATTTGAGCTTCTGCTGACATAAATGCATTCCCAAAATAGAACGTTACAGCAATCTTCTGCTAGACATTTAAGCTCATTTGTGCATTTATTTTTCAAAATGCCTTTTTTGAACCTTCTAACTGTGAGAGGGCTGGAAAGGTAGTGTTAGAATGAATGAAAACTTGTTTTCTAAAGTGACACTAGACACTTGATCTACCGTTAAAAAAAAAAAAAAATCACAGCCTCCTACCTTGAAAACAAACATCTCACGGCGAAGAATAGCTAGAGTGTTAAAATTCCCATCACAGATGTTGGGTTTGGCTCCAGGATAGGAGGGTCTGCCGGTGGGAGGCCGAGGAGGTTTTGGCCTGTCATTTTTCCTTGGGTCAGCCGGAGGAATAGAGCGGTGTGGGGGCACTGTTGGTAGAGGTCTTGTAGGTGGAGGGATCTTGTCAGGTGGACCTTTTGAAAATATGAGGACAGTGCTTGGCTCACTTAAAACTGGAATAGTGCTGGAAAACATGCTACAGAGAACAATCACTTATCAGCAGAGCACACAGACTAAGTGAGCTAAGAGATCTGTAAGATTATATATTTTCTGAAGAAACAAACCATCTTACCCAACAAACCATCGCCAAGTCTGTCTGAAGCTGTCCTTATCATTCTAGTTTCTGGATCCAAGTAACTAGGCTTTTTTTGTTAATTTTTAACGATTTTTTTTTTATAGCTTCACCACAGTCCTTTTTGGGAAAGCTGCTTTCAGATCTTTTTTGGAAGTAGGTGGTGTATAAATAATAAATAAATGAAAATGAATACTGGAGCCATGCATGTGAGCTTCACTAAATTAATCCTAAATTTCG